TGTCATTCGATGGAGGATATGAAGCGGGTCCATGTTCACTGAATTCTTATGGTTGAAGGAGGTCGCAGAGATATGGTGAGGTGAGACTGTGAAGGGAATTGAACGTAAAAAGAAAGAACTTAAATTTGACCCAAGATGTAGTGGCAGAGGTGGTCAATGTTTTGGAGATGAGAGAAAGCTGAGCGGGTAAGACAGTTGGGAGTCAAACAAGACACCGAGGTTCCACACTAGCTCTGTGAAGTGGAGTGGGCATCTCTGTCAGCCCCAAGGTAGTGATGGGAACCAAGCTCTACCTTGTCAACATTTATACTGAAGAAAGTTAGAGCTCATCCAGGGTACTTATAGACAAGAAAGGATATTTGTGAAGAACTAAGAGACATGTTGAAGGGATCAATGAACATGGGAACATTCTGATCACCTGGAAGCAGCAAATATGATTCCCATAGTCAGTATGACAGAGCCAGCCCTGGTTATCAAAGTTTTTTTAACCTGACCCTAATAAATGGAAAACTAATCACCTGAAGCAAAATGGAAAAATAGCTTCTGAAAATTACGAATAAATTATTTAGATGGAGTAGATCTTAAACTAAATGGAATTTCTGAGGTGGCATCCAAAATTATAAGTGGGAAGTATATCTTGACCAAAGTATATACTATTAAATAGTATATCTTGACTTCCAAAAAGTTTCTGACAAAGTATCACATGAGAGAAAGTCTCATTCTAAGGACAGCATCCCTGACAATGTGGTGGTCTCCCAGTTCTACGCTGCAGAACATCATCAGCCTAGAATTATTCAGCAAACTCTGTCTTGCTTCATTGCCCCCACCTAACCTGTCCCACTATTTGTGGATCAGATTTCAACCATTCCACTCCTGCTTTCTTGAACTACATCCTAGATTATCTCCGCCTAGCACTTCCCTTTCCACCTTCAAATCCTGCCTTAGGACCTTTTTTTTGATGATGATAATGTTAGCCACCATGCCTCTCCTCCAGTTATCTATGTGAAGTGCTTTGAGACACCCTCTTTACATCTGTGCTTTATATATGTAAATTGATGTTATTGGCTCAAGTTACATTATTTTAGGGTCCGCCAGTGTTAAGTACCCCGAGACGCTTCCCCGCCTGAAGGATGCTATACAAATGTAAGTTGTTGTTATTGTAACATATAAGCTTAGGCCTCAACATGGGGCATTAACCTACAAACTGAAATAGAAGCAAGAACAGTACCAACTATGTCAAGTTTGACACCTACACGCATGTACTCCATGCAAAACTTGCCATGGGGAAATTTAAGAGACCTAGTGATGATAATAATAATAATAATCCTTGCATTTAATATGGCACCTTATCACTTCTTTGAGATGTCTCAGAATATACTGTAAAGTCAATTGGCTGTATTCTGTGAGCTAAATGTGGCAGCCAATTGTGCACAGAATTGTCTCACAGTCGTGGATTGAGTGACCAAATTATTACTATTATATATTTGAAGGGATTAGTACCCTTGGAAAAGCGATCCAGAACCATCAACTTCCCTCAGAATGTCTGCAAAACTGAAGCCATCCTACTTGGCTCCCACCAATGCTGCCTTACCTCTGACAACAATTATCTTAACCGTCCCAAATTCTCTCCACCTCCCAGAGCCATAGAACAACTTTGGCATTCTGTTTCAGCTTTCATTTCTTCCTTACATCTCCCATTGGTCCCTGACCAAGATCACTCTATCTTCACCACATTGTCCACCTCCATCTCTACCTTACATCCATTGCAGGCAAATTCCCTATCCACAACTCGATTTGCTCCAGCCTCACGTTCTTGCTCATCCTGCTCTGTTCGACTATTCCAGGCCTGTTGCGTATTCTTTGCCTTTTCCACCGTCCTCAGTGCCCGAGCCTTCAGCTATTATTATTCTTTGGGTCTGGGATTCCTAACTCAAATCCCTCAGCCTCACCCCTTCCTTAAAAGCCTCCTGAAAACCAACCTCCTTAGTTATAACTTAAATATCTTATATGGTACCTTTACATAGTAAGTTGCTACTTTTCAACTGGAAATAGTTGTTGAGGGCTATAGCTTAAGAATAAAATTGGATTTTGTGCATCAGAACAAAGAAGTGAATACAGCTTTGTGGTTTAATCCCATATTAGTCATATTTACTTCTACATTTTTGTGCTTAATTATTATGATTGAATGTAAAACAATATTTTATCATAGTCCAATTAGCTCCTAAATGACTCACAGATTGATGTTAACAATACCCGCAAATGCAATATCTGGTTTTCAGCACTCGATCTGCTGTGCTAAACTGCATTCTGCTGCATTTGCAAATAATGTTGACACCTTGTGGCAGAAAATAAATACTGCACAAACTTTCAACACCAAAGCAATTCTAAAGGGAGAGTAAAGTTAATTAGATCAACTTAGGGAAGAGGGGAATGGGAAAACAAATGCCCACACCAGTAACCTATTACTTTTCTTTCTCAGCTGCGTGCCTGAGAATCACAGACACTCATCACTATGTTTAAGAGTATCCAAATAGATACGAGTTCAACATACTATGCTAACTGTCCATGGATCCTTTTCGTGAAGGAATGCACCCTGTTTAGCTAATCCAAGAAAGTAATTGGCACAGGTTGGTAAGAGCCAAGGTTTGGAGACTAGAGAGTTTGTATTGGAGAATTGCTGGAGTTTAACCAACTTAAACAGCGTAGATTGCTGTTGCAAAGAGTCTGGCAACTTTTCTACAGCCTGCCTAGCTAGGACCACTCTATCCATTAGGGCTTTGCCTTGCTGAAATGGTGAAAAGGTGACTGGGAAGAATTCCTGTTTCAGTAACTGGTCTGCCCTAACTTGGCAATGATCCAGCTGGCTAATCTAACATAGTACCTTAAAATATGCAGACCCACCTGCCTTAGGAAACCAGATTAATGTGACTGTCACAGAGGATCAACTCAATTGCAATATTCCATTGCTGGCCCCATAACACGTTACCGCATCATCAAACTGTCTCAAAGCACTGCACAGGAGTTTTGCAGTGAAGTAGTGGCTGTATATTTTGTACGTATTTGAACTCAGCAAACCAATTTGCACATAGCAATGTCCCACATACAGCCATAAAGTAAATTTTATCTTAAGAACTGTTGGCCAGGACATTGAGAGAAACTCCCTTCTCTTTTTGAATAGCAGCACAGGATCTTTAACATCAAGCAGGGGAGACCATGTTTGATTATCTTATCCGAAAGATGGCACCTTTGGCAATGCAGCATAATTTCAGCACTGCATTAAAGTGTCAGTCCAGAGCTCAAAATCCTGAGGTGTGGTATTCCTTCCTGGAGAGGGGTGCCACCTGCTGGTTCCGAGATAATAAAAAGTAATAATAATAATCCTTGCATTTGATATAGTGCTTTTCACGTCTTCTACACATCTCAAAGCGCTTCATAGAATATATTGTAAAATTAATTGACTGTATTTTTGGACGAAACACGGCAGCCAATTATGCACAGCAGTGTCCCACAGTCGTGGATTTAAGTGACCAATTTATTAATTTTTTTTGCTTGCGGATTATTAGGCGTGTGGAGTAAGAAAACTTGCCCAAGGCTTTGCTCTGCCAGGAATTGAACCAGGTCTCTCACTTCTGAGTGCTCTGACCACTGAGCTGCAGGACTCCACATTAGAATATTCCTTACATTTAATATAACGCCATATAACCTTAGAAATTTGCATCACAGAAGGGGGCCATTCGGCCCATTGTGTCTGCTGGCTCTTTTAAGAGCAATCCTTTAAGTCCCTGTCCTTATCCGATATCTGATACAGCCCAGTAGCCCCTTTAGATATTTATGTAGTCCTCTGGAAAGTTTATGTGGATTCTACCTCAACCACCTCATTGAATATCCTCATTGATTTCCAGCATCTGCAGTATTTTGCATTTCATTGAATATCCTAACTGCTCTGTGCGCCTTATGTCATAAATATCTTTCAAAGCTCTTCATAGGACTTGTGTAAAGTGTAGTGACGGTGTATTTATAGGCCAATCTGGTAGCTAATTTCGACATAGCACTGTCCCACAGTCATGAAGTAAATGATGGTAATAATAATCCTTGCATTTGATATATAGCGTCTTATCACATTGTCGAGACGTCTTAAAGCTTTGCAGGTTATACTGTAAAGTGGACTGACTGCGTATTTTGTGGGCAAAACAATCGATTTTATCCAGGTAACTGTTGGCCAATGGACTGGGAGAAATTGCGTTCTCTTTTTGAACAGTACCATGGGATCTTTAACGTCCATCTGAACAGGCAAGCAGGGTGTCAGTTTAACAGCTCATCCGACAGATGGCACCTCCAACAGTGAATCTTCCTCCAGCACTGCAATGAAATGTCAGCCTGGACTTATGAGCTGAAAGTCCTCACTGGTGCTGAAATCAATAAACATTTGACTCTGAGGTGAGAGGGCTGTCAACTGGGCCAGACTGAGACCTTAAAGTCGGAACAGCAAATTTAAGATATGCTTGGGTAAGCAGCTTGGGTGGAGTAATACAGACACTAGAATTGGCTTTAAATTTTCTAATCTTTGGTGAAGGGGAACAATCAGCTACGTTATTTGTCATTTGATTCCTATCTCGTGACTCCTGGTGAAAAGTACACACGGGTGAATGGTATACTTTCATATCTAATATTAATTGTCAGCATTTTTGCTGTTGTGGTGAATTTGGATGGAATTCAGTGATAACATGGATTAATGCCTACTATACACTGAACTGAAACTGTCGAAACATATTTGACTTACAATGACTCATTGCTCATCCTTTATATCTGGACCTTATTTTTTATATAGAATGGATCAGGGAAGGAATGTACAAATTCTCCACAAGAACTAATGTAATCACAGAATGTTTAAACAAGCAGATTTTCTCAAGCACACACGCACACACACGTGTTAATAGAACCAAGAAATGTCAACTGATCCTAGACAAATTGTAGAAGAGTAATTAACTTGAATCCTCATAAACCAGCTATTGTGTCTTTATTGAAATCTTACTGGAATATTAAATGTAAGAACAGAAAACAATTAAAGATCCTTCCAAGAATGGTTCAGAATTACACATTAGTTAAAATACCAATCCTTTAGTTTATGCCTCTTTTCCCATACATTTTTATATTCATCACTTTAGAAAATGTACATAAAAATAGCATCTTATTTTTGAAGTAGACACAACTGAACAATTTACAACAGTAGAGACCCATGTATTTTATATAAAGGGAATGTTCTAATCGGCAGAAGAATCACACAAAAAGATATCAAGTGTAAAAATAAATCATAAAAATACAGAAGAATTGAAATCAATTCACATTTGAATACCTGACTTGTTTGAGAAGATTGAATTGTGATACAAACTTCCTTCTTCAAGTGCAATATTTGTCTTTCATGCTTAATCAATATTATTCAATCCGATTAATTTGGAATTCCAGCTATATACCAGAGTCATCTTATACTATATTTTTCACTTCTTGCATCTTCAGACCTCAGGACAAAAATATTTACTCAAAATAAAATACTGATGCTTTTTCGTGCATTTGATATTTTCAAATGGGTATTAAGTATGGAAATAAGAAATCGAAATATGAAACCATTTAAGGTATTAAGCTCTCAATTTACCACCATTGTAAAAATTAACCCCAAAATAAAGCCCGTCACCATTTTTTTCTTAATATGTGGCTCAGCGACAAAGAAAAGCACAAAGATATTTTCCAGGTGAATATCGCTGGGTATTCAATTAGTTATGGCTTTTTTTTTTGCAACATGGCAAAAATTGCAGATCAAAAGCAGACATCTCCTCACAGAGGAGGTAAACTCTGTTGCGGTCCATCTTCTGCAGTCTCATACTAATTGAATGGCAGCATGCATGTTGCATATTAAAATTTCTTTTTTTGTTATTTTATAGCGCACACATTTTTAATTAAAAGGGTGAATATTTAGATCAATATCGTTCAGAAGTCCCCAAAACATCTGCCCTTCTTTACTCTGCTTGCTTCTGAATAGGCTTGTCGTCTTTGGGGATGACTGGGAATGGGTGGGCTTCAGTGTTGAAGATCCATTGGTCCATGGGAAGCAGATCGTCTTCAGAGAAGAGCACATAAAGATACCTGCAGGCAAGTGACAAATCTTAACAATAAGTAAAACTGATTAAAGTAAAGGGTTAGTTGTCTTATCTTTCATGTGCAGCACTTTTTACGTTTTTTAATGTTATCCAACTTGTGGATTTCTCCACAGTTCCCTAAAATACTGATTCACATGCAGACAGCAGTGGTCAGCTGTTCAGTTGTGTTGTGGCATAAAATGAGATCCTGAAATCTTTATCATGCGAAATGCTTGTGATCTGCTTCACTCTGGTTTTGAAGTGTGATGGCAGAATGGAAGCCCTTCTCTCTCTTACTTAGGAAGCCAGAAAAGCTGATGTCTTATATCTAGCTGCTGGGGAAAACCAGTAGTTGACATGACAAAAATAATCAGCTGCTGCTGTAGAAGAAGTTTAGATACCCAAAAAAGTGATCCTTGTAATAGCTTGACATGTTTTTCATGTTTTCTAACTTTATCCTTTTCTGTCAAACGTGTCATTGTCAGATGCAATAAAAAAAATTCCAATTGAAAACACTAATCTGTCATATTCCGTCAGAAAACAGAAATGAAATCTAGAAGCAAACAATGTTCTGAAAGAGATCCCTGAAACATTGGATGGAATTTATTATTAGTATAGTATAATTTCTAACGTAAACGAGAAGACACAGATATGTAAATTTCATTCACATAGACTGAAAATTTAATTGCAAGATTTGCAAAAAGCTTTTTCTTTGACGTTTTCAAAATTATAATGATTTCTACATTAATTTTAAACTTTTCTTCAATCTTGAAATGTTATACCCAATCTACACTTTAGTTTTCATTTTAGTAATCCGTCACACAGCTACAGGAGAGCAACATTAACATTCGGCTTTATGGCACTGCACAGAGCGAAACTACTGGTAAAGCTCAGTAACCCTGTAGATATTTTAATTTAGTTTTGTTATACTGTTGCAGATATTACTTATTGCTTTTCTTATAGAGGCAGTAGGATATAGGACTTTCAATATTTCTACGAAAACAGGAATTCCAATAAATCTTTTGAACCAGCTGAGGTTGTTACTATTACTAATTATTATTATTATTAGTTTTGCAGTAAAAGCCCAATAAGGGTCCATAAGCAGAGCTATATAACAAGCACAATCTCCATTCTGCATTCATTGCATACGTGCGTAGAAAGCCAAATGTCTTGAAGTCCACATTGCGCAGGAAATGCCACCAGTAAATAAATGTCAGGATCCATACCCCAACTGTGCAATAAGTAAACCCACATCATTATGAAGCTTGTTATTATTATATAATATTAATATGTTAGAATTCATAATCCATTGCAATATTTGCCAGAAGTTTTTTCTTTGATCTTTTTGAGAATTTGTTTTTACATTTCATTTCACTAATTTTATTTGATTATGATTTGAGGATACTTTAATGTTTGAGCAATTTACAAGAGAATAAAATAAGATTTCACTCATGCAAGTTGTGTTAATATGCTTAGCTATTAAACAAATTAGTTAAAATGCCCACGTGAGAATCTTGCTGCATACATTTATGAAAATGTAGTATTATAATTTTTTAAATTTCATAAGATACATATAAGCACATTTAATAGAACCTGCTTGCGATTGAACTCGTTTTTGGTACAAATGGCAAGCTTTCTCCTTCTTTTGCATGCAGTTCAAATAATTACTAGATATTTTACACAAGTTCACATTGTACAAATTCCATTGGAGTTTTATTCTTTCTAGTATGAATCTCTGAATATAATTAAGATGTATTTTGCTATTCAGAAATTCAGACTGCTTGTCTTTGAATATTGTACTTTTCCAAAACCAAAATACATCCTTCTTTTAGGTCTTTCTTGCATCTTCTAATTATCAGACAAGTGATTGATAATCAGATATTTTAATAGAATAGAAGCAATGGAGTTTTCTCCTCCAGTTATTTTACTTACTTTAGCGTCTCTGCCAGGAAAAAGCTCTGTTGCACGTCATCATAAACTGGTTGGGTGGCATAAACATCTTTAATCCCAGAAAACCCGGCATCTACTTTGCAGAACTTTTCCAATGCCTAATGTAGAAGCAAATAAATAATATTGGTAGCCTTTTTTTAAACAAATACCTTTATTACACCCATATAACTAAAAATGGAATCAGCACCCGTATCAAACTTGGGAGCTCATTTCCATTGGAAGACTTCTCATGTCATCAACATTAACATAGCTGAAGACTCACAAAGACCCAAAATCAAGTTGACATAATGAGGACAATGGACAGTGTTCATCTAAAAACAATCATCAATAGGAATAAAACATATCAATTGATGCTCCTATCTAAATTAGTGGTGATACAGAACAGAAAGCTTGCTTTTGATACTACTAAATATTATCAAATTAACACGAAGACTTCATTTAATCCCAAAGAAAGCTAACATTCTGGTATTAGGGAAAAAATGAAAACAGTGACATTTATTTTCAAAAATGTCATTAACTGAACAGAATATGTTGACGGGATTTGCAGTATTCGTCTTATTTGTTGTGTAAATCAAAACATTTATGCTGAAAATCAAATCTCATTGTATTGCAAGGATAAGGTTTGCAATATTAAATATTTTTATTTTTAATACTCACTCCTGTTTTAATCTTACATTATTCTACTTCCTAACACATACAATTAAAATTGTTGCATGGTAGATTGTTTTGTAGAGTTGATTAAAAATAGATTACTTTGCTAAATTCCCTTTGGTTAGTTGTTTCTTATTCTTAGATAATGAAGTGGGCTACTACAGAACAGAAGGCACAATTAATCCACATGTACCTCAATTACCAAGTTTACGAGGCAATAAATGGCTCTAGGAGGGCCAGAATATTCATCAGCATCCGTTATCACAGAGCAAATTCAGGCTGATCATTAATTTTTGCTTGTGTAGCTACTGCCATAAACCTGTGATTCTAGGCTATGTGGCAACTCTTAAATAGTTCATGATTAGCTGCACCTCATATATAATAACTAAGGAAGTCCAATATTTAACTAGTCACAGCATTTTCTGGAACAGCTTCAATGATTTCAATATTCTAGAGGCAGACAGACCCAAAAGGATGGATGTAAGTACAAGCCATCATCACACAGGATAACATTGTGACTGTTTCACAATTAACACAATATGCAAAGTAGGAGTGCAGATGTTACATCAGATTTAATGTTTAGAATGCCACAAAGGCTTGTTAACCTGAACTATAAAGACCGCTACAGAGCGCTAACTCAATTCTACATTTTGTTACCGAGCACGTCACACTGTACCAGCTCAGCTCCAAGGAGACCTCACTCCCATCCCAACTGATTCAGCACGTTCAAAATAGGAAAAAGCAAAAATGATAGTAGTATCCACATTCTACGCACATACCTGAACAGCTTCCCAACCCCACTCCCTGTATTTGGGGTCATGGGTAAACCTCCACAAGTACATGTACGTCTCAATGACTTCAGGTCGTAAAATGTAATATTTCTCGTTCTGTCTTGTTGCAATAGCTTCAACGCCTCCATCAAACCTGAAGGCCTCAGGACCTAGTTTTGTTGCTGTAAATGAAGGATATGCATAAGTTAATACAAATATCAAATATTTCTGTTCAGATTCTGATGTACCTCCAATTTAAACAATTAATTGCTTTAAACAGTTTGCCTTGCTTAACAAATCAGAGAAGATTCTTACCAAAATCTTCCCTTAGGAAAAAGCTTTAGTTTTAGCAAACTGAATTTGATGAGAATATAAAACATGAAAACCACTTTGGAAACAGGATCAACAGGAAACTGAATAAATTACTATGAACTAAAATGTTTTTGATTTAAAGATAAAGCCCTAACCGATAGGGTTATCCTCAGTAGACAAGCTTGCCACATAGTGTTCTCAAGGGCAGTTATGCAAGTTTAGCAGAATAAACTCTAGCAGAGCCACACCACACTCTTGGTGTCCCCAAAACATGGCTCTTACCAACCTGTGCCTAATATTTTCTGGAATTAGGTAAGCAGAGAGGTAGAGTGTGTGCATTCCATTCTTGAAACAGAGATATTTCCATGGGTACATATGTGGAACTCTTAGTCTGGATACTCTTAAGCATGTTAATGTCATGAGGTTTCTGTATGTCAGACATTCGGTGCACCAAATGTAACTAAATGGCTAAATGGTTCAATAGTTTACTCCTGTCTGAAGTTGTAACAGCAGTGGAGCCTTATTATAATGTAGAGTTTGGGCTCTGTAAAATCTCAGCTTGCGAATGCAGGTTTGACTGCACATGTATGCAGCACTCACTCCTTGCACGTTGGCTCGATCAAGCACTAGAAGTAAATATAATAATAATAATAATAATAATAATCCTTGCATTTGATATAGCGCTTTTCACGTCAGGAGGACGTCCCAAAGCGCTTCACAGAACACACTGTAAAGTGAATTGACTGTATATTTGTGGGCGAACGCGGCAGCCAATTGCGCACAGCAATGTCCCACAAACAGTCATGGGTTGAAACTGACCAATTTATTATTGTTTTTTNGGTTTTGGAGGGATTATTATTAGGCGGGTGGAGTAAGGAAACTTGCCCAAGGTTTCGCCCTGCCTGGAATTGAACTCAGGTCTCTCGCTTGCAAAGCGAGTGCTCAACCATTGAGCTACAGGACTCCAAATATAATCAACATCCGGATCATTAGGTCACCACCAACGTCACTTCCCGTTTTCTGCACATGCACAAAGGTAGGAAGTGATATTGGCGGCAACCTGTTGATCTGGATGTCAGCATTGTTTTTAATCAGGTCATTGAGGTTGTCTTCAACATCACCTCTGCTTTACACATTGTGTTCCAACAATGCAGCACATCTCCAACACTGCACTGGAATGTCAACCAAGAACAATACAAGTTCAAAGTCCCAATGTAGGGATAGAACCCACAAACTTCTGACTCAACAAAGTTGCTACCAGCTGAGTCACGTTTACACACAATAAAGCTCTAAACAGTGCGAAAACTAGGAATTAAAATAATACAAGATACTTTGCTGTAAAATGATGAAGTTCTCAAATAAATTCAACAATGCAAGGATTTATTATTGAGCACTATATACATGTAAATTTGTATTTTTTGTAAATACAAGTGTTTATAGACTTACAAACAATGTTTTGATAAGAAGTGACCAAAGAGGTAAAACATAATTGTGCTAAATTCAAACTGGAAATAGGGTTAGGAGTAGACGAGGGGATAGAAAATAGGCTTTGTGGGTCATCAACCTTTTACCATTTCATATTGTCCATTTCAGCTTTGAAAAAATAAACGATGATATTCTACCCTCTTGTAACTGAGAATTAGGTGGCTGAAGATCATTGCAGTAAAAGAACATCTTGTTCGATAAAGTAATCTGGATTGTTCAGTAGATTCTGCGACATGCAAAAAGTTCATTTCTCAATAATGCCAGCAGCACATTGCACCATACGTATTGTTCATTAATTGTGCAGTTATAAGAAGCCTACAACATTTAGAATAGTGCAGCTGTGATGTATCCCCGGAGATTAGAGGTCTTGCAGTATAATTAGACTCATTTCTAATTAGCATTGTCTGTATCTCTTTATCTTATCCTACATCATATGAAGAGAAGGGCTCCACCCTCCTACTTACACCTCTAACCTAGATAAGCTTGCTTATGGGTCGCTTTTGTATTACATCAATCACGTTAGAAGCTTTCCTATGAGTGATACATACGTTTTCTCGTACCAGGAATCTGCTAACCCTTCCGTAAAGCTACACTGAATACAGATAAATTCTATATGGTATTCTTGAATTCAATGTTTTTTTCATAATTTGGTTTCAAAGATCCCCTCAAAAACAATCTTGAAAAAGTCACTTAAGTCATCTTAGAACTGCTGGACCCTGAGACACTTTGCTCTTACAAGAGAGGGAGAGAGGAGTGATACTTCTCACTCCATGTGGCTACTGTGCGAGGAAATTTAAAACTAATATCTGACTTGGGTACTCCACAATTAGCTGATAGTTTCTATGGGAGGAAATTTAAAACTAATATCTGACTTGGGTACTCCACAATTAGCTGATAGTTTCTAAAATATTATTAAAGAGTCGTTTGCGACAGCCCATAAAACTGTTGATAGACCTTTGTGAAGTGGAGCCGGGATCAATCAAATACATTCATACTGAAAAGTGTGAACCCCATGTTCCACCTGGAGGAAAGGTTTCGCCCACAAATATACAGTCAATTCACTTTACAGTCTATTCTGTGAAGCGCTTTGAGACGTTGAGAAGACGTGAAAAGCGCTATATCAAATGCAAGGATTATTATTATATATATTATAAAGGTCCCTTTTACAACTCCCTTTAGCAGAGAATGGCATCTCTTATTTTTCAAAGTAGGGACCTCACTCAAAGGGATAAGTCTGTAAGGGTTTGGGGAGAACTCACTCACCGCTTGTATTTGAACCACCTTACACTAGGTTTGGGTGTGTGCCATGCTTGCATTGGTATCTAATTTGAGATATTTGCAAACTAATTGTCCAGCTTGCCAATGTAACAGCTGCTTAATTTGCGAGATGTTCACAAACTGGCAATCACAAAAGTCAATGTCACAAAACAAGTAAGTAAAACAGCCATTGAGAGAAGAAACCTTACCTGTGCGGTCGTAAGACTCATGACATGTCCGTGCAATTTCAGCTGCCAGTTCCATATGGTGACCGGTGTTTTCATTCGGTGCGCTGTCTGCACCAAGAGCGAACATTCCTCCAGTAAAACAGGTGAGATGTCCCATCTTATGTTCAAGCAATCCACCTTTCCACTCTGCAATGTATTTAAGGCCTCCATTGGACTTTCTGATCAAGTGGGTCTCTATAGCCTATGTGAAAAATACATTTTGCTTGAAATGTTTTCTGAAACCATCTAGTCTAGTGAAAATTTTAATTGTGATGAAAACTGAATTTAATATTCACTATTAAATTTATGGCTATCTGCTGTCTTATCGTATTTTAGCCAATTCAGGTTTCTTTGTTTTGGGTCTTGAAAAGATACTGCTCATCACCACACTTTACAGATATCACCAATCACAAACCCTATGGCAGAAAAGCTCTGTATGTATATGAATTGGATTCAGAACAGAATCTTTTTTCCAGCAAAACAAAAACATTGAAAAAAATCCATCCCTTGGATGTATTCAAGCCATTATTCAACACAGCTTTATCATTGCATTTAAAAAAAACTCTGAAAAATATTTAAAAACTACAAAATGCTAAAGTTATCCTTTGCACAAATAGAACACCACTTGAGCAACACCATCACATTTCAGCAACATTCCATGTGCTGCTTATACTTGTCGTTTAAATGTGTATCCCACAAGAGGGTGTGTATCTAGAACTGCAGCAGTAAAAACAATAAATAACAACATTTGTAAAGCCTGCTTTTCCCAGAAGTCTGAACCAATTCACATTAGTTAAATGCCAAATTATAATGTTCAAACCACCCACCACAGAATACTTAAATGCATGATACAAATAGACTTTGAAATCCCTAATAATAAGCAAACATTACAGTATATGTATTTATATTGAAATCTGCAGTTGATCATAATTCAAAATGATGCACAAACAACCGGTGTTTGACAAGCTAAATTTCATTACAGATCTTATTTATTACTTGGCCAGGTTTATACTTTATATTTTATCAAAATTACAGTATTTTGTCTTGTTTTATGAGAACGCTGTGCATGGCATCCTTTGTGGTGCTTGACAAAATTCATATATTGAGACAGATTGCAGTGCCATATCCTTCTGTAATAAACACGTTAGAAAAAAATCACTCTATGTGCAAACATCTTTGAAACAAGATAAATATTTACCAATCTAACAAGGGGTTTTATTTAATTTGTCTGCAACCACAAATATAATTCACAAATCAGCACTAAATAGTCCCTCTTCCCAGCACTTTTCTTAAGAAAGACACATGTGCATTTGTATAATCAACAGTCTAGGTGGATGATTAAAATTCCCCATTTACCTGAACTGCATCATAATACATTTTCTTGGCTTCTTCATCAGTCTTGTCTGACATCAACCATGCCTTGAGCAAATATTCATAAAAACTGTCTCCAAGTCCTCCAATGGATACGTGATCTGAAAGGACAGGTATGTAAACCAGAAAATTCCTTCAGATAGTCTAAATACGAGGGCTTCAGATAAAGCCATTCAACATGAATATAGATTATTATTATTATTATTATCACATTATTCACAATTCACACATTTATTAATGTCACAGTCTATGTTAGAAAATATGGTGTGAAATACAAGTACAATAAAATAGTTTATTCTTTGTGAAAAAGGCTCGATTGTGTACAAGTTAGTTAACTATCTTCACCCAACACAAAATTCACTTGTGACTGACATTTAGGGAACAGATTTAAAATCATGTTACCATTACACTGTTACTGCTGATGACAGCACTGCCTTCAACAGCTGCACTGTAATATAAATGAGACAGCCACAGCTGCTGTCTCCAGAGGTGATTACCACAGTGACCTGACCTGGGTATATATCCTGCCTCTGGGGGCAACAAGGTAAATGTTGGGATAGCAAGGTAAACGGTAGACTCCAATGCTGCTGGTTGACTGGCCTCCATGGGGCTAAACAGGTCAACAATACAGTTTTGTCAGGAATAGCCTGCAGGGATCTTCTTGAGAGAAACAACTTATGGTGTGTAACTTCCGAACAACTGTGTACACACGTCTGTGCATTGTTGTTTCCAACTCGCACATCACAACTGTTTCTTCTCCATTGTGAATTTTCCCCCAATTCTCTCCCCCATCCATAACGTAAAAGGGAAAGAATCCTTGCCCCAGCAGCATCAGACTGCTTTACAGAAAAAAAATTAAACACATTTGCTTTTTTCCCCTAGAGGTACAATCCTTTGATGTTGTTACTCCTTCTCCAGCAATTCAGCAAACCGAGTTGGAGCTACGTTACTGCACCATTACAGTCAGACCCCCCACTCCCCCACCCATTTCTATGAATGTGCTCCATAATCTATCGCCTCAAGTTATCTTGGGGGCAGGTATTGTTTCCATTAAGCTTCTGTTAACTCTGCAGCCAAAGCTTTAATGGGTAGTCCCAGTTGGACGAGCAGCGGGAAGCTTGATGGATAGTGCTTTCAATGGCAAGTTATGCGGTTTCAGCTGGTCCCCAAACCTTGCCTCTTGTGCCTAATATTCTCTGTAAGTAAGTAGAATACGGCCATCCACGGAGACAATGCACATTCATTTCCCAACATGGAGTTTCCATGTGTAGGTGTGTGGCATCGAACTCAGTCGGGTGTGGATACTGTTAAGATGGTGATACAAGTGTCCCACACCTGGCTGACCAAAAAAAAAGTGCCATAGGCAGTGAAGAAGCAAGAAACACCTGTATGGCCCTGGTGAGTGGGAAATTTCCTCTTCAAAATAAATCATATTTTACTTATATAGTACTTGTATACCAATTCTCTTTAACTTTAGAACTTAAATGAAGGAGAAATCATATTGACAAAATGCCATTTGATCCAACAAGTCCACGCCACCAACAACAACAAGATTACATTTGTATAGCGCCTTTCACGTTGGGAGGACGTACCAAGGCGCTGGACAGTGTACAGCATTTCAGACTCAGCAATATACACATAATATCCTCTATTGTGCACCTTACCACAATCAACTCATCCCATCAACAAACATTCTACATAGAAACTTGGCAATCCAAAAAGAAATCAAGCAAACACTTCAATATGTTTATCTTGTTCTAGATAGTTGCTAAAGAGTCCCCAGCTCAGGTGCAAATCCTGAACTGTCCAGGGCCTTGGGACATCCTCCCATTGTGAAAGGCACCATATAAAATATACATTTGTTATCCAGTCTTGTTTTGAAATAATTAATTGCTTATCTATGTGTCGGTTCCATATATTCACTATATGCACATGCAGAATAGGGCGAGGTGAGGAAGAGTGCTTTCTGTTCTTGCTCAAGGCTTGTTAATCTCAACCTTATTCCGTACTCAAAAGTTCAATAGCCTTGGCTACATTCACATCATCTTGCTCTTTTATACACCTGATCTGCTGATATATTTCTCCTCAATCTTCTTTCCCTTCTAAAGTTATTCAGTTGCTAATATTACATGTATTACAATAATACATAAAAATCATTTCTTCAAACCAATGTCTTTTGTTAACAAAAATATTTTTTGCCATAACAGATACAGTTTACATGGTTTAGGATTTGAGGCAGATTGGAATGTTTTATTAACTTCAGGCTACTTTTCATCAGCATAAGTTTGAAAGAATAGCAGAATTTCAATTAGAAAAAGCAATGATGCTATTTCTTAAGCTTTTACTTGAAGGGGTTGAGGATGGAAGGCAACACAATTATATCCGTTAATTCCTGTGGTTTGGTCTGAAACACCGCTGACCAGGCAAATTCACAGACGCACGCGCAAGCTACCTAGCACTGTCTTGAAGGTCGTGAGAGAAGGCAGTGTTACATTAGTGGCAGAAATTGTTCCCCATTATAGTAATAATTAGCATAATGGAAGATGTGAAAAAACACAAATTGCAATAATGGACTATTATGTGCAAGCCCCATTGACATCATGACAGATGTATTGTGCACTTATCTCTCCTTTTTAGCCTTTCATCTTCACCGCTGAGCTTGGAAAGGGAACGGTGGGAATGGATGAATGCCTTCCTCAGATGCCAGTGGTGCTCCTTAAATTGGCTTGTCAAGATCAAAAACGGGTTAATCCATTTCCTCCCCCAGATCTTTCCATGTCAGCAGCCAGCTGAGAATTGATGAAATCCCCCACATCTTATAAGCATTTAGGTGAAGAAACCTGACTCTCCTACTTCAGGTATCAATCAAGTCTTTTCAAGTCGCTTGATTTTTTAAAAAAAAATTTTAGTGTTTAAAAATGTCTTGGAATACCATGATAAGAACTTTGATTCACTGAAGGCAGGGCAATGATTTCTCTAGTTCTGTAAAAGGATGAGGGAAAAAGGGCAGGAAAATGGGATTAAATGAGCAGCTCCGTTCAGTGCACCAGCACAGTCAACAATGGGCTGTGCTGTAACTTCTTATAGTTCCAGCATAGCTTTGACGCGCTGAGCAACAAAGGATCAGGATACAGGCTTGCAACTAGGATTTTTCCCATATGGAGAATTCTCAATTCCCACATGACAAAAGAGGAAAACGGAGATCTTGTCCCTCTAAACTATGGTTGTGCACCTCCCCAGCAGTCAACTCTAGAGCATCTTTGTCACAGGCTTGAGCACACTTCTTCCCCACATGTCTTCTCGGCTGAGGTAAGACATGTGGGGAAGAGCTGTGCTCCAAATGAGAAACATTGGAATAAGGCCCCCCCCCTCCCCCCACTACCATTCCCTCCCCCTGAAGATAGTGTTGCTGAAATAGATTTTTTTTTAACGCTGCTCAATACATTACCAGTTAGCAAGCATAGGTGGCAACCTGAGCCACAGATTCTAAGATGTTAGCAATTGAATGCACGAGAGAAGGGAGGTCCTTAGATGTGTTTTATGACCTTTAGCTTTCCAAGAACAAATTACCATGAAAACCTTTGACATTTTCAATCGAAACAACTAACTGCACATTCATCTTCCGAGACACTCATCAATAATATCCTGTGCTATTATGTACTTTATTACAGGAGACAAAATTCTACAGGCACATTTCTGTAGCAAATCGCTGTCAGTCTGTTGTCAGATTAACCATGTTAAATGAATTCACACACAAAAAAAACGGGCAACATGCCAGCAAAGCTTTACCGAATTAGAGTTCTTCCTCAATGAGGGATAAAAGGTGATACTTGTGGAAAAGAGAGCATTACACATACATGCTGTTGTTTTCGTGTGGCAAAAGCTTCAAAAACAGCCAGAATTAATTATAGTGTTAGGAGTACAACATCCATTCTACAAAACATACTAAGTTGCTGGTATACAATTATAAATCAAACACTGTTCGACACTTCAAAGTATTTGAGATACTTAATTTAAAAAAAAGATCAGAATGCTCTGGAATGGCGAGTACTTCCTCCCCATGAGATTATTCAAGTGTATGAAAATCCAAATTTAAAAATCAATCTCGTGCAGATGGAATTTAATGACACAATTCCAGAAAATATAGAAAACTTGAAACGGTTTTGGGTAAAGCAAGAAACAAATGCTGTTTGAATGCACAAGCACCCAAACCGGTGCAGTCCAGTTGTAGCACTAATAGAATAATACTCATTTCCCAGAGGGGCTATAACAGATACTGCTCCAGACCTCAGGGCTGGCCAGGTGTCAAACCCACTCATTCAGTGTGTGGAGCATTTCTCTGTTGGACCACCTCACACGGGTGAGATATTTTACATCTGGTGGCAGAAAAGTACCAGAACAGATTACCTTCTCCACCAGCTCAGTTGGTAAGCACTTTCACCTCTGGGATTGAAGGTTCAAACCTCATGTCAGGACTTAAAATTATAGTCCTTGGACCACTGGAGTGCTGCATTGTTGGAGGTACCATCCTTTGATGAGGTGCCACCTGACTGTTCAGACAGACTAGAATTTAAAGATCCCGGGACAATATTTGACAATAAGAGAAGGGAGCTTCTCTCGGAGTTCTGGCCAATAATCCTCCATATTAACAGGACATTTTCTTTGTGGAACCTCACTGCACAGAAAATGGTTATTGTGTTCACAATAATTACTTTGAAGTACTTGCCAACATTTTAACAAATAAGGCACCATAAAAATGCAGGGATTCTTAATGTCTACCAGAAAAGGGAGACAGGACCTCAGTACAGCACTAGAACATGAATCGAGATTAAGAACACCAGCAGAGGCTAATGTCAAGGAACAAGCTGCTGTGTGTCTTTATCTTGATGCATGGCATTACTGCACTTTCACCAATTCTACTAAATAATTATTTTACAGACTACGTTTTTATTCCATGAGGAACATGTTAATATTAGAAACTATTGATACGCCCAATTCAACAATAACCATGTTATTTTGCACTAAGTTCATAAAGTTAAGTTTTTCAAATCAAATTTTTCCTCAGTCCTCATGCTGTCAAAACAGAGGTTATTCAGAAAGATTGGTTTAGTAGCAAGCTCATTCAGCCTCATTGGAGAAGATAACTGAATTTGAGGAGAAAAAGTGGATTCATATGACTGACAAGGTTTAAGAAACACTCAAGTTGCAGTTGGATTGATTTATAGCTACCAGCCAAACTCCTTCGCATTCACCATTGTTCACGTAACCGGTCCAAGCTATCCAATTTTTTTCCCACTAATATACTATTTACTTCACAGAGATTGCTTTATTTAGCTCTACTTCACAGCCACTCTTGTGGATGCCAACAGCCAGGCTGCTCCATTCATGAATGACTTGTGATTGTACTAAAAGGATTAATGACTGGAAGCTCATCAAAAGTCCGTCAAGTGATAATTAGCAACCATAGAAAATACAGCCATGAAACTGTAAATAACTGAAAGATGTTTTGATTTAGGAGTCTGTAATTTGTATACTAAGTAGGAGAAAAAAAGTGGCTGTTTGAAACTAATTAAGACCATGTACTTCAGTCCTATAATGTTAACAAGTGGATTGAGAATTCTGAAAAAAACAGCCTCAAGCAAGAGGGGTCTCCCAAGTGGCTCAGGGGATAAATGAAGATTATGGTGGTCGACTGAACCAGTAAATCGGGATAATCTCTTGTCCGTGCAGTTATTTGATCACTGCTTCTGCAATGAGGGTGTTGATTGATGAGGGGTATTATAATTAGTCAGCTCATCTAAGCTAGGAAGTTAAAGATACAGCTAAGGTCCACTTCTGTTTTATTATCCCCTGATCAATACACTTCTGTGTGAAGTGATTGAGAACAGAATCAATGCTGGGTTTAGATTCTCCCCCCCACCCACACACAAAAAACTCTATTCAAATATCCTGTCAACGTTCATTGTCTAGGCTCACACGACACAAGACAAATGGTCATTTGAAGAAATATGAGAGAGATTCTAATGCCTCAAAAATGAAATGGCGATAAGAGAAAAAGACTGATGATTTTTAATATCAGCAGTAGTCAGTATGTTGGCTTTACATCAACCAAGTGTTCTTTTAATAAAGTTTATTAATAATGTTTGGGGATGACAGAATGCCTCAGTACTGGTAATGGATCACTAATGCAATCTATGTACCGCATTCAAATACAGTATACATCTGTACAATGCCTTTCAACTAAAAGAAAAAATCCTCAAAGTTCTTTCCTGAATAAAATTAGTTAGAAATTAAGCCAATGCTGTTATGTAGGCAAACACAGCAGGCAATTTATGCAGCACCAACCCATACCTACCCATAGCTGCTTACCACATCACCATGAGGAGGAAACATGGAGTTTAGTCAGGCGTAGGACTGAAACATAAATATTGTGCAATGTGGCAAGTTTCAGTAGCTCTTCAAGTGTTTACTAGCTGCTTCCTAAATTTTGTAGGAGTCCAGTATACAAAACTGGAAACAGTCTGTAACACACAATCTCATGGGCTCACTCAAGTGCTGACCCTAACAAACAGTGTAATGATAATAATAATCCTTGCATTTGACATAGAGCCTTATCACTTCTTCTAGACATCTCAAAGCGCTTCACAGAATATACTGTAAAGTGAATTGACTGTATATTTGTGGACAAAATGTGGCTATCAACAGGAAGGCTGAGGAAAACCACAGCAGTTTTAGATTGCCTATTACAACAGGAACTTGAACTTCATAGAGTATGCACATGGACTGATAACTGTCAAATATAATTTAATACAGATAAATGGAATGTAGTATATGTAGAAAATTAAGAATGGGAAGTGTGTACTCCTTGGATGGGATAGAACTTGCCAAGGGGAAAGCTGAAAAGAGATATATGTGTGTTAGTTGACTCATCACTTACTAAAACAAAATATCATAAGACAGCAATAAATAAGGCAAACAGGATTATAATGGGACGTCCACCCGACATGAACTGCGGTATACAAATGTAATTTTGTTGTTGTTATATTGCAAAATTAGTTAAATTGGACTAGACATCATACTGAGCTATATAATATTCTGGTCTGGTCACACCTGAAGTGCATACAATTCTGGTCACTGAATATAAACTTTGTCTGTGGATAAATACTTAATGAGGAATAATTTCCCTTTTGTTAGAATAAACTATGAGGAAATTGTTTTGTAGATGGAACTAATCTTAATCACAATTTCTGCTTGGTTTTTTAAAAAAAAATGATCAGGAAGTTCAGCTTTGCATCAGAGTATTTTTTAATAAAAGTTAAGAATATTCTTAATTGGAATCGAATTGAAACATTGCCAAAATCTAACTTACGTTGACCCCATTGACCACTGTTAGGGTTCAAGTAGTTTGGGTACAATCCTTGAGGTTTATCCAGACGATTCAAAACTTTCCGAATGCTCTGCATCTGTCAAAACAGCCCAAATTATTGCATTTTTAAGTAAAATAAATATTTGCCTTCTTACGATAAAAACAATCCAATTCAATTTGAAAATCAAACCAAGAAACCAAAGTTTCTGATTGACAAAACTTATTTAACTTGATTTTACCAAATTATCTCTTTGTTCTATTTATAGCTTCTTTGTTTTATCTGACTCATGATTGGATGACACAAATATAACTAATTTGGAATGAATGGAAAAAATACCATTCATCAAACACAAACAAAGCCTAAAGGAAAGGAAGCAACTTGTTGTCACTGGGAACACTCAGCAAGTCAAGCAGCATCTATGGAGAGAGGAAAGTGATTTAAGGTTTCTGGCCGGTAATCTTTCTTAAGAACGAAAGGTCATTGATCTGAAACGTTAGATCACTTTCCTCTCTCCATAGATGCTGCTTGACCTGCTTAGTGTTCCCAGCGACTTCTGCTTTTATTTCAGATCTCCAGCATCTGGAGTATTTTACCTTTTGGAAACAGATTGTTGTTTTATTGTGTATTATTCTTTGACTGAAAGCCATGTTTCTGTATTAGATTCAGAACCAAATAGATGTGCAAATGGTTTGATACTCCCAACAATGTACCCATATGCAGTGAACATGATCCATTAAATTCAGTTCACAGACTAGGTTGTGCCACCAAAGTAAGCCCTAAATGGGAAGTTATGATCATCTACATGGGTATTATATAATGTATACATCATATAAATTGTGGTTGGAACTACACTTTTGACACAGGGAATGGAATTGAAAAAGGAACTGTGTTTATATGTGTACATCTACTATCTTTCCCAACTGTTTTATGGAAAAGGTTTTACGTTTTTCAAAATGGTATAAAACTATTAATATTCCTGTAATCAATTATTATTATAAAATAGATATAAAAATAAATATGGGCAATATCGTGACTTACCTTTTCCGCAAATACTGGATTTCCAGAGAGACGACTTAAATGCATAAACTCAAGATGCAAGGTACCAAATTCAGCCAAGATACTGCTACCTCCTGATGCCCAAGGCCAGTTCCGACCAAGTCCACTGTAAACATATTTCAGTGTGGGAAGGTAAGTGTTGTCAAAATAATAATAAAATAAAAATCATTGCATTTGAAATAGTACTTCATCAAAATTTCTCAAAGTGTTTCACAGGACTTTTACTGTGAAGTGCAGTGACTGTATTTTGTAAGTAATTATGCAAGGATACAAAATATTCAAATGTCTCCATTAAATATACACTAAATTCTACTTTAAATATATGCCTTTTTATTTAGTCAAAATAAGTCAAATTCTCAAAAGCCCTTTCACAGACAGCTAAGATGGACCTTTCCTAAAGCTGAAGAAAAACATGCTTACCAGGATTGCCTGACAAGAGAATTATATTTGCATTTTAATTATAATTTGTGGATTACTGCCAAATAATGTAGAGTTTTGGTTTGCAAATCTTATCCAATGCTATTCATAGCAGATCCCTTTGAAATTGCAACTCATCTGCTATTCCACCCAATTTGGTGACATCTGCAAATGGAGACATCTTTGACAAATATCAGGCTACAAATCATTCACAACAATTATAATAATAGTGGTGTCAATAGTGATCTCTGTAGCATACTACCCGAACCACTGAGGGGGAGAAAAATCAAACTGCACATGAAATTAAATACATTATCGGGGTGGAGTAAGATAAACAATCAGAAGACAGAGAACATTGCTTCTAGGACTCTAATATGAGAACTGAATGGTGGCTGAACAGTGAGCAGCTAACCATCCAAAATCATGGCCTTCAGTGAAAAGAGATTACCCTACAGGCCACCAACAGGAATTCTAAACGGATAAAATCAAAGTGCTGAATGTAGGAAGGAATATATAACATAAAAAAGATATTAATCATTGCTTGAGATATAATGGTTCTCACTTGATGAAACATTTGAAAGAGATTCTCATAATTTTACAGTAAACTGTAATGACTTCTTATTTGTACATGAAGGAGGCAGGCAATCAACAAACAGTCATGAAGTGAATAACCAATTTTATCCGGGGGTTGTTGGCTAGGAGAAACACCCTTCTCTTTTCAAATAGTTCCATGGTTCTTCAATATCCACCTGAACAGGCACACGTGGGACCTCAGTTTAAAATCTCATATGAACAATGGTACCTCTGACACTGCTGGGCTACTTTGGGATCCAACACACAACATTCACATACTGGATTTGTTAAAGTGACAACTGATGGCAGGTTTTGATCTAAGGCTATAATTCATGAAATAGTTCCTTTGAATGTCATGGTCAAGTGCATGCAAAATATTTAATGATAGGTGTTAGAGTTGGTGAAGAATGTCTGGAATCATTACAGGGTGGATATCTAACCCCAGTGTTCTCTTGTGAACAACTGCATTACTGCTATGAAAAAGATAAGCTCCAACACTGGAGCCCAACCAGACTTGTTCAATTGCTAGATACAGCAATAAATAGAGCATTTGCTCCTGCTGTGAGAAAGCTCCAGGAATCCAGGAGGTCTGTACAACTTCACAGCAGGTGGCAGAATGAGTAAGCCACCTAAAGAGTCTAAAGAGGTGGATACTAATTGGAGGTCCAATTTCAATAGCCTGCATCAAGGGATTTTTTAAAATTGGAATAATAGAGCAAAAGTAACTTTCCTACTCAGTAGGAGATACTAATAATCCTTGCATTTGATATAGTGCCTGATCATGTCTTCGAGACGTCTCAATGAGCTTCACAGAACATACTGTAAAGTAAATTGACTTTATATTCTGTGGGCGAAACGCGGCAGCCAATTGTGCACAGCAGTGTCCCACAAATCGTCGTGGATTGAGATGCACCTTAATGGCATTCTAATTAAGTTTAATTCAAATTAAGTTTACATGACTCTTCTGAGAAAACATCAGAGGTTTCTATGAGATTTCAGCAAGCACGATTAAGTTGTTACTGTCGACCAATGAAGATAAAGCACTAGAGAGCTCGGACCATAACATACTGAAATGGCTATACCATTAGAGACTCTGAATTACTGTAAAATATATTTTTCTATATTAACAGTTTTTGCATTGCAATCAACAACATGTGATAACTTGTCGGTGGTATAGTCGAAATTGTGTTTGAAATTAATTAGCAAAATTTGTCTTTGGTTTTAAGAGAGTAAATTGATGTTCATGTAGAGGACAGGAAGGAAAGGGAAAACACATCAAATGCAACTTGCACCATCTGCACTAAAGAGTGTAAAGAGCTGGATAGTAATTGGAAACTAATTGGATAGTTCTTTCAATGAGCCGGCACAAGCATGATGGGCCGAATGGCTTCATTCTTTGCTGTAACATTCTATGATTTTATGCAAATTGCATTAAAAAATGGACCATACAGGGCTGTTTCATGCCTTTCCTATTGAGTTACATTTCAGCTGTTTCTCCCCACATTCTTCAATAGATTGAACAAATCACAGGAACAAATTTTAAACCATGTCCTGATCATGTCTTGAAATGTAACCATACCACTCACCAGTGTTAACTGGTTACATCACACAGCATGAAGCACATCACACTGTGATTAGCAGTCGTGGCAAAGTGGTGGAGTGCATGAGAATCAAGACTCTTCCTGCTTGTGGGGGGACAGGAACATAGTAACAACAACAACAAAATTATATTTGTGCAGTGCCTTTCACGTCAGGAGGACGTCCCAAGGCACTGGATAGACAGAGTTACGGACCCGAGCTGAGGGTCGGGGTGGGGGAGGAGGGAGGGCAGAGGGGGAAGCAGGGAGATTGAAAGCTCGGTCGAAGAGGAGGGTCTTGAGGTGGATCTTGAAGGTGGCGAGGAAGGGGGCGAGACGGAGGGATGGAGTTCCAGAGGGTGGGTGCAGAGTGGTGGAAGGCCCGCCCGTCGACAGTGGGGCAAGCAAGGCGGAGGACGTAAAGCAGGCCGGAGCCCACTGAGAGGAGGGAGCAAACAGGGTGGTAGGGTGGTAACAGGAGGAAAACATTCAATCTATCAATCCTGCTTTGACATTTTATTAGATCACGGCAATTCTTCCTTTACTTCCCCTTTCTCCATATTGGAGAAAATAACCTTCCTTCCCAAGGACTGCTCTCCCTCTGGTTTAAGCATCCGAATTGACTCTAAATCAACAACAACTTGCATTTATATAGTGCTCTTCATGCAGGTAGTGTCATTGCACTTAACCACCGTTGGTGTGGCTTGATGCTGAGTTGGACAAGAGAGGGGAGGTAACCGAAGGCATGGTTGAAGAGGAAAGTCTTCAGGTGTGATTTAAGACAGGCAAAGAGCGGACAACTCAGAGCAAAGAGTTTCAGAGATTTGGAACATCAATGGCTTTCTGAGGATTTCATTCCATATTTATAATATAATCCTGTTTGTGATTAAATGTTTTCTGATCTCACTTCTAGCTAATTTAGCTGTCATTTTTAAGATTACATCCCCTTGTTTTTGGATCTTTCTACCAGAGGGAAGAGTTATCCATTATTAATCACGTCAATTATCTTCATTATTTCAAACACTTGAGTCAGATCACCTCTTAAATTCCTAAAATCTAAGCAATATAATCCAAGTCTATCCAGTCGCTCAATCATAGCTAAACCAGCTAATAACCGAATGAATCGACACTGGATGTCTTCTGAGGAGAGTAAAATCATTGCTGTGGTTGGACACGCACAAGTGAACACAAATCTCTAAGTGAAGTCTGACCGGCACTCTCATACAACTGCAGCAGCACTTACTTGCTTCTCTATTCCAGCCCTCTTGTTAAAATGCTCAGCATCTCATTAGCTCTATTGATTGCTTTCTATATCAGAGAGGTAGCTTTTAAAAAAATCTTGGATTGCTAAATCCCTCTGTTTATCTACCCTCCAAGTTCTTGCCCGTTTAAAATATATCAGTCTTAAGGCGCAGTTCAAATGTAATTTTGTATTGTAATCTATAGACAAAGTGAACAATCTCACACTTTACACAAAATATTGAGATAATTTGAACTCTATCTGCCATGGTTCCATCCACTCACTTCATTTATAATCACCTAATTATAATAATTAGCCTAATAATCGCCTAATTATCGCCTAATAATAATACCTCCAAAAAACAAAACAATAATAAATTGATCATTTCAAACCATGACTGTTTGTGGGACACTGCTGTGCGCAATTGGCTGCTGCGTTTCACCCACAAATATACAATCAATTCACTTTACAGTCTATTCTGTGAAGCGCTTTGAGATGTTGAGAAATGTGAAAAGCGCTATATCAAATGCATATTATCATCTTTGCCCCTCTGCAATTTTCTGCTCTCTTCCTCACCTGCAGCCCTTTATAGGTGTACACAAGATGGAAAAATAACATAATTCCAACCTCATAAAAAGCCAGTTAGTCATTTTAGTGTAAGAGCCAGTCAGTGGGCAAAAAGCAAACAAGTGAACCAAAAGCATTCAGAGCGAATTGTGTTCATGTTGCAACTGCATTATTACTGAATCTGCACTATAAAGAAGAAGTTTGTAACAATTTGGGACTGCTTATCAAAATTCAGCAGGAATCTTTCTTAGGGCAAAACAGAAAATATCCTTATTGAATATGGTGCTTCAAACATCTTCTGTAGAAAAAACATCCGTATTAAAGGGCATCTGCTTTCAGCACTTTTTAAATTATAGAAGAAACTCCTTTTAAAAGTAGGTTTCACTCATGTTTAATTCATTCAAAGTAAAATACCACAAAGTACCATTCCAACACATTTTCATCCTCTGAAATCCTGATTCAAGAACACAATTTAAAGATATGGCAACATTTCACCAACAGATGGCACCCATAGTCAACAATGCCTCGTCCTGCATTGACACCATACATCTAATGCGAATTCCATACGGTATCAATACAAAATATAGTTTAAATATCTATCAAATCCTTACATTGATGTAGTAGAAACTTTTCACATCAGAACATCTCAAGTGGCCATATATTTTTGTAAGCAAATGCAGCAGCTGACATAGCCCAGCCTTTTGGGTTGTAGATTTGAGCCCTGTTCCCACT